ACCATGTCTCTCAGCTTAAGGAATTCAAAGAGGTTCTTCCTACTAAGTCTCACATTCCAGACTGGTGGAAAGGAAGGGATGTGGAAATGCCTCTCAAACCAGTAGCCATACTGGAAAGAAGAATGGTGAAACAAGGGAACAAGGCAGCTGTCCAATATTTGGTGCAATGGGAGGGCCAAAATATAGAAGATGCTTCTTGGAGAAATGCTCAAGAGATGGAAGACAAATTCCCAGAATTTTTCAGTATATAGTTTCCTGTGTAATCTGTAAATGGGGTAGGGGATTCTTTTCTTTTGAAGGGGAAAGGAATGTTACAGTAGGGAAACAGTTGAGCTTTTAGGGGAGAGTTGGTTAAGAAGTTGTTGAGTGGTTAGAGGTAGTTGAAGATATTTTCCAAAATATCTCCCCTTTAAATACCCCAAGATACATTGTACATTGATATGTTCAGTAATGAAATAACTCTTTTCTACATCCTTCTTCTTCCCCACTTCTCTGTCACGTAACAGAAGCTTTACAGCTTCTGTGTTTTAGCTCATCCTCGAAGATCTCTTCTCCATTACAAGATCTTCCTGCATTGACGCTAACAGAAATTATGTTACCAAAACAGCATGGTAATTGCACGTATGGATTTTTTTGCAATTTGGGATAAATATATTTTGACAAATGCTATGCCTAAATTGAGATACGATTGCACAGATGGAGGAGTTCTCTTCAAAAAAATTTCTTCGTTGGATTTTACCATAAATTCTAGAGACCCGATCCTAGGTATGAACTCCACGCCTGATGGGAAGAAAACAAAGAGATTGTTGAAGTATATACTCGAATGCTCTGCCCTGACCTTTCAATGTAAGAAAAGAAAACACATGAATTTGTGGCTTTTATCTATGTGCGAAGACCCTTTTCCCTATGTGCATGTTCAAAGTTTCAAGTTTTGATGATTTTATAAAGAATTTACAAAATTTTCAAGTTTTTTATGTACCAAGACCCTTTATTCCTATGACTTTTATGTAAATATCTTGACAAAATATGCATGTCAAGTGTTTGACTAATTGTCTCTAACAACTTTATGTATGCACTAAGACTATTTTACACTGGAGCTCATGATCAACAAGGTTTCAAAGTTTCCTTTTATGTATAAACTAAGACTGTTTTTCATCTGTTTTTTGCATTTTTGTTTGATCAAGTTTTTTTTTGCATATACGTAATTACGTATGCCATTTTTTAAAGTGGCTGTGGAAGGACAATATGTTTGAGTGCGAATTGATTACACATTTGCAACAACAATCACACCATTGCTGCCACCATTTAAAGAGCTCTGATGATGTTGTTGTTCCGATCAAAACAGGCAAAGTTGGTGCAATAAAATCATGCTCAACAAAACATTTCTGAAGTTGCCAACTTGCCATTGTGGTTCAGTTTCAAACAATTCTATTGCCGGTTTATCTTACTTTGTAGTTCTTATAACACATAGTTGATTGATTCAATTAATCATTTGTCTAAAGGTTATTTATTTTTCTTTTTCAGGTTGTTAAACCTCGATCGGTTTAGTCTGAAAGCATTTTGGGGATGTTGGGAATGTTTCAGAGAGTGATTTACCATCGGTGGTCTTCTCCGCCGGTGTTCACTGGCGGGTTTGTTGACACGCAGGCGAGAAATTGATACATTAAATACAGATTAACACATGCAGTGGTCAATCGCATAAAAATGTTAAGATCCGAGCTGGATCTGGAACGTCTTTCATAGGTAAGAAATGAAAACTTTAAATTTAGTTCTTTTATTGAAAAATCGTATGTTTACACTTCATGTATCAATTGGATCTATATTTGGTTGGGCATATATTTCGATTCAAAATTTTAATGTAAATTAAGCTTAAACAAAAAAATAATTTAAAAAAAATGTGTTCTTTTTTTTATTCTGGCATCTGGTTTTGCATCTTTTTAAAAGCTTGTGTCAATTTTTTGGTTCCTGGTTCAGTGGGAGGGTTATAGTTTCTTTTTTAAGGTGGTTAAATAAAATAACATATTTTGAGAAGTGGAAATCAATCTCTTATTGGAGAGAATTCACTAAACTTAAGTTTCTGTGGGGGGAGTAGTTTCGGTCGAGACTTTGCAGGGGGATTTACCGGGAGAATTAGGGGGGTAGGAATCATTAATTTCATGAACGGGGCTCCATATGGGGGCAGTGACTTCCGTAGCCACAGGATTCCAGTGGCTTTGGAACCAGCCTCATTTAATACAATTGACAAAAATGATGTATTTATTTTTTATAATACTAATAATTTAAAAGTTGATAGAATATATATTCCCGTGCATCGCACGGGTGAAATGCTAGTTTGGTTGTATATTTTTGAATGTTAAATTAATGTTGGAATGGTTAATCTATTGTTCTTGCCTTATTTAGTTAATTAAACTCGTAAGATTTAATTGGCCATTTATTGAGAAAATATTGTATGCCAAGGGGCTATGATATTCAAGTGCAACGGATTAAGTACAAATCTAGAAATGGATGAGTAATAAAAGAAATATTATTATTCCAATTGGTAATTAAACATGATAAAATAGATCCAAATGATGTCCAGACCCCAGGTCCAGATCTATACTTATACTATGTGAAAGTTATTTATTATTTCTACTCCGCTCTTTTTATATTCGTTCCGGGAAGACTTTCATAAACCTGTCTAAACCTTCGCTTAGTTAGAGTAATTAAACTAATTCCCTTCGTCCACTCCTCGAGAGACACGACACTCGGAGAGAAAACTACCCCTTTATTGGGAAGGTTTACTACCCGAAAAACTACAACCATCAAATGGCGCCGTTGCCGGGGAGTGGCACAACATTAGTTTAATTTCTTCTGATTAGCTTGGGTGAAGATTGGTTAGAACGATCTTCTCACTTCTTTTTTCACCAACCACCCGTAATAATTATGGATAATTCTAGTGGTTATTACGGCCCGCCTTCTTACTATCTATCACCTAACCGCCCTCCGTTTCAAACCCATCCACCTTACCACCCACATCAGAACCCATATGATGATGACTACCAAGTCAACAATGGGTCTGACTACTATCCCTACCATGAGGAACCACCATATGATACCCTGTCTAGGAACGTTGGATATTCTCAATTACCAAGACACTGATGGGGATAATTATTATGAAGCTCATGGAGATCACGATGACTACGACCAATATGGGCCTATGTACGAAAACCAACCTGATCCACTCGTTGAAGAAATAATAAGATTAGAACAGAAAATATTCTATTTTCACGAAGTTTTATTTGTTGAAGGCTCCTGGTACGAACCACCTTACTGCCGAGACTACACCCTGTTTGCTGAAGAACAAATTGAAGCAAACAAGGTGGCAATTCGAGAAAGAGCAAAACTTCTTCAAAAGGAGTTCGAAAGGAGACTATACGAAGGATCAGAATTGATGCAGAAAATGCTGGATGACTTCCAAAGAGAGAGACTAGAAGCTGAGGCTAAAGCTGATAAATTAGTCAATGATCTCTGTAAGGCTGTTGAACTTAAACGCTCCCTCCAACCTCAAGATCAAATGAGGGAGATTAATGTTCAAAAGGAGGCTCTAGAACCTAAGACCAACCCTGAGTCATTCAATCATCAGGTTCCAGTTCTAGAAGATTCACCCAGTGCTAGGCAAGTCCCAACCAGCATAGTCGTACACGAGGTGGAACCAACTGAGGGACCTGACTCAGAACCACCTATGCTTATTCAAGAAAAGAAGGAGGAAGTTTTGCCTATGGCAATAAACGACCATGTCCTTAATTGTGTTGATGATTATGATGAATGATTATAATTGGTAATTATTAAACGATTTGTATTGTTAACGGTATCTAGAAGAACTCTAAGATATACCCATTAGTTAATTGATGTTAAGGCTATCTAGAAGACCTCTAGAATAGATCTTGTTTTAGAATAGACTTATGCAAACATGAATATTTGATGAATTCGATAAGAATGTATAAACGGGATTCGTAGACCAAACTAGAGGATTACTCGTTTGGGAATGTCCGATCCAATGTTGATCAATCGCTATATTGTTGTTGCCTTAACCGACTACAGTTAAGTGTTTGAATCGTTTGCCTTAAACTCGTGATAGTTTAAGTGTCTGATTGCCTTATCTGACTACAGTTAAGTGTCTGAAATCAATTGCCTTAAACTAATGATAGTTTAAGTGTCTGATTAATAATTGCCTTAAAAAATCTGGTTATGGAAATTATGATTTGGCCTTAGACTAAGAATAGCTAAGAGCATTATTATGATCTGGCTTAGACAAAGAATAGCTAAGAGCGTTGTTATGATCTGGCCTTAGATTAAGAATAATTTAAAGAGCACTATTGAAATAGTATCTGAATTGAATAAAATGTGTTGATATGAACTGAACAATACCAAAACTGTGAATGTCTGGAATAAACATTATGTGCATGATATCAAATGATTTGATTATGAATTTAGATTCAGTTTATATGGATGTTCGACGCATTAGATATGCTTACCCAGCTTTACCGCTGAGCGTGTAGTGTGTTTTATTTGCTACACGCAGGTAAACAGAAAGCCTAATGTGATGTTGGTGGCAGATGGGGCGAGATTGTCGGGATGGATGTGACAAGTTTGAAATGATTTATGATATGTCAAAATTAAATTTGCTTCCGCCATATTGTTGAATACTCCATCCTGTATATGTTATGAAAAATATTATTGTGATAAATAAAAATGTTTGAAAAGTTTTAAATTTTCACGATTACCAAGTTAAATACTTTATTCCGAAAGGGGCTGCAGACCTGGACGGATTAGGGTGTTACATGGATAGCCTTTAAATCCTCATTGTAAGGTTGAAGATAGTCTCTAAATCATTGGTTGTAAACGGTTGTGATAGCCAGTATGAAATCTCATTTTCCTATTGCCAAAGGTTGTTTGCCAAACCTCGTTTGATTCTTCTTAGTGAAGCCAAACAAGTTAGTGGAGGTTAAATCCTTGAGGAGGAGCCTCGAGGTACTGGAGTAGGGAGTTTTGAACTAGTATAGAATCGATTGTGTCGTACTTTTCTCTTTTATATTTTTCTTGCTCTTTTTCCGCTACTACATTGCGCCTAAGTTGTTGTATTTACGAAAAACATTCAAACACCCTAATTCACCCCCCTCTTATGGTGTAAACCGACTCCAATTGGTATCAGAGCAAGATTTTCTCTCTTTTTCAAAATCATTTTTTTGAAAACCACTTACACGAGACATGGATTCCATGAATTCCCAAAGCATCACTAAGCCACCGTTCTTCAATGGTGATAACTACGGTTATTGGAAAATTGGAATGGAGAACTTCATTCAATCCATCGATTTTGGCTTATGGATTGTTACTACTAATGGCCCATTTATTCCTATGACCACTGTAGGTGAAACACAAGCTCCCACACCCATGGAAAAACTCACGGCCGAGGACAAAAAGAAACTCTCGTTAAATGCCAAAGCATTAAATGTTCTATTTTGTGCCTTGGGTCAAGACATGAACAAAAGATTCAACCTCATCATCAACTTGAGTAAGGTTAACAAAATTTATCCCAAAAGTGAGATTAATACTAAAAATCATATTTTCATTACCTATAGAATGGCATAGTCTTGTTGTGAACTTGCTACCCAATGTGTGGATGTTGAAACTTCCACCATTTGTAGTCGTCTCTACTCTCACGAGCTTCTTTTGATAAAAATGAAGGAAGATGAACAAGCACCTATAATGAAGAAAACCATGGCTCTCAAGGTTGATGACAAATCTGAAAGCGAAGGAGAAAGTGATGAAGAACTCACCATGTTCAAAAGATACAAGAAATTCATCAAATAGAACAAAGGTGGGTCATCAAGAAGATTTCCATCGGAGAAAGGTAAAACTAACCAAATTACTTGTTATGAATGTGGAAGTATAGGACATATCAAACCCGAATGTCCTAAACTCAAAAAGAAGGAGGATCTCAAAAAGGGGAAAAAAGAAGGCATTAAAGGTCACTTTGGACGACTTAAATTCGAACGAAAGTAAAAGTGACCAAAGCAAAGAAGAAAATGCAAATAATTGCTTCATGGCTTCAAATGATGAATAAGAGTTGAAAAACACCACTTGGATAGTTGATAGTGTGTGTTCGAGCACTACTACAAAAAGACCTTTTAAATAGGTTGTTAACCGATGCAAAAGCCTGCAATCCAAATGCTGAGGTAACTTTTTGCATCGGTTGTTAAACCGATGTTAAAGCCTCTTCCCAGAATTCGGGCCATCTTTGGAAGGGGCTTTTGCATCGGTTATTCCCTAATAACCCATGCAAATGCTTCTTCCCAGAAGTGGCACCAATTCTGGGAAGGGGCATTTGCATCGGTTATTAGCATAACCGATGCAAATGCCTGTGTTGACCCTTGTGTTTTGATAATGACAATCATGAATATATGATGAGCTTTGGATCTGGATCTTTTGATGTGGATTTCCTAGCACGTTGCGTAGAGATTCAAGACAAGATTTGAAGATTAAAGGTTTTCTAGATCTTTTTTCTTTTTGAGCCTTAGTTCTTGTTAAAGCGTATGGCACATTTCTATTCTTCAAATATTTTGGTTTTTCTAAAGGAATCACGTCATAATAATTTTTCTAAATCGCTTATCAAATCTCTTCTTTTAAAACTTTCATCCTTCAGGAAACTATTCGAATGAATGTTAATTTATTCGAATATGTTTGTGTTCAGCGGATTGCAGTTCAACCTGTTTTATTCGCATAAATTAGTAATTCAAAAGTCTTGTTTTATCAAAACTATTCGAATAAACTGTATTTTATTCGAATAAGTCAGTAGTTTTTAGAGATTAATGAACACTTTTTGAATCTGTCTGGAGGTTACTTTATCCCTATCTCTATTTATTCAATCATATCTCGTTTTTACAACATAAGAACCCCCAAGATACTTTCAATTCATCAATCCTTTGATTAATTCAAAGAGTTCTATCCAAACTATCATCCTCCTACTCAATTTTTCAAGCACTTCTTTGAGCAATCTTTTTCAATTGAAATTTGGAGAGTTTGGTGTGCCATACGCTATAAGTAGATTGTAATCTACAGCATATCCGCTCTTGTACGAAGAGTTATTTCCGCTGTGCAATTTGTTTTGTAAGTTTAAATTGTAAAAACTTGAATTTGAAACGATTCAAGTTTTTGGATTGAAATCCAAAGTCTTGTGAAATCAAGACTTCGGTGGAAAGATTAGAAGCTTGTGAAATCAAGTTCTCAAGTTGTATTTTGATTGTTAAACTCCGTTAAGTTTAACAAATATTAGTGGAATCTCGGGCACGTTTTCCTTGGGGACTAGATGTAGGCATTAGGCCGAACCAGGATATATCAGTGTCTCTTTGCATTCATTATTTCCCATATCTTTACCGCAGGAAACACGATCATGAGACTAACAATTGGTATCGGAGCTTGTTGTTTTCCATAGTTTTACAGTAGGAAACACGGTCATGGCCGGAAGATCATTTCTAGCAGGAATATCCGAGGGACAACCAACTACTCGTCCTCCACTTTTTGACGGAACAAACTTTGCTTATTGGAAAGAAAGAATGAGAATTTTTTTTCAATCAAACGACTACGATTCTTGGATGGTCATCAAATATGGAGATACTACTCCATTCAAGATTGTTGATGGAATTCGTGTACCTAAATTGGAATCCGAGTTCAATGATGGAGATAAGATGAATGTGATGCAAAATTCCAAAGCCATCAATTATCTCTATTGTGCGGTCAATCCTGATGATTATAGAAAAATTTCACGATGCAAAACCGCTAGTGAAATGTGGAACAAGCTTGAGGTTACTTACGAAGGCACCTCCCAAGTGAAGGATGCTAAAGTTGGCTTGCTACTTCATGAATATGAATTATTCTCAATGAAAGCAAATGAAAGCATTGATAGTTATTTTGAGAGATTCTCAAATATTATCAATAATATTGACACTCTCGGAAAGCACTACACTGATCATGATTTGGTTCGAAAAATATTGCGATGCATGACTCCCGAGTGGAAATCTGAAGTAAGAGCTATTAGTGAAGGAAGAGGCTACAACACCTTGACGTATGACACACTAAGGGGAAAGCTATTCACCTATGAGACATTTACTCTCTATTCTCCGAGTGAAAACAAACAAAGGAAATCTATTGCATTAAAATCTACCAAGGAGGTTGAGGAAGTGAATCATGATGACGATTCAAGCGATATGGAAGAGAATCCTTAACTTGCTCTTGTTATCAAACGCTTCAACAAATTTGTCAAGAAAAATTTCAAGTCAAGAAAGGACAATTCCAAGAAAGCTACACCACCCAAATGCTATGAGTGTGGTGAAATAGGACATATCAAGCCCTATTGTCCAAAACTGAAGCAAGAGAAGGACAAGAAGTTCAATGCGTGAAGTCTCCTAAGGGCATTGCCTAGACTTTTAGTCTATGCTCTAAGTGTCCTTAATGCGACTATTGGTATAATGATCCTTAGACTTGAAGTATTACGTTCTTTGAATGCGTGAACCCGTATGCTTTGATTCACTATCCTAAGCCGTATGAAATAAGGATGGTACACAGGCTTTGTATTGGGCATGCCGCTGCGCGTATTCGAAGACGTAGATTACATACAAAGAATTTGTCACTGCTACTTAAGCAAAATAATGTCTTGTAGGGGCCCACTGATAAGTATGACTGAGGAAATGCATAGCCATGCTGAGATGAGTTTAGACATCTGTTCTCATCAGTCTGACTTGTTAATCAGTAAATAACTTAATGGCTACAAATTGGCTATTTTATATATCACTTGCACTAAGTTAAGACATAAGGACAAAAGGATCTACGTTATACAAATTCTTAGTCGTAGAAAGGTTTTGACGGAGCAAACGTCTGAATTTATAATCTGGGGGTAATAATGTGTTGCTAGATACCGCTTATTACTTATAGTATTGGTGTAGAATAAATACTGTGGCCAGTTTTATAAGTGCCTATATGGGTCACACACTTTGGACAATTTAAAGAGTAAGATTATAAGAAGGGATAATATTTAATTTGTATATTGTAAAATAGTGCCTATATATATATACTTTACACACGCCACTCACATATTTAAAGTGTGTGTACATATGTTATATGTACGTGCGTACATATATATGTGTTACTTTAATTATCGTGTACACACACATATATATGTATATATTACATTATATATATTATATTGTGTACATTTTATTTTGGAGTGTCATTTTAATTATGAAAATAATTATTTTGACAAAAACTATTTTAAAAGTATATTTTATATACTTGTTTAAAATATTTTGGGTATTTTATTTAATATCATAAAAATTATTGATGTCAAATAAAATATACTTTGACCATTTGAGAGGAGAAGAATAAAATTCTTCCCCCCTTGTTTTTCGTACCATGCTTGATTTTAGGTGTGTGGGGGCTTTGTCTCCCAATACACTTCATTATAAACTTTGCACTTTTGGACTTTTGCAATTGGAGAAGCTTTGTACATTATTCCTTTAATGATGATGGGTATATTATATTAATCATAAGAAGGAAGCTACAATAATCAGATAATCAATCATACAACTCAATTTGCGGCCTATTGTCGGGTGTAAACACCTTTCACTTATCGTTATGCAACACATAAGGTCTCGGACCCAAATGGGTTGCCTACGTAGCTCTCAGAGGTCTCGGAGTCAATCCAAATTTCAAATCAGAACAAACAAATTTTATACGAAAGTCTAAAGTTGAAAAATTTTATATCGTTGGTTACTAATTTACGAGATTTTTTCAAAAACCTAATTTTTAAATAAAAAGTTTAATTTTACAAATTATTCATATTTTTGAGTAATAAAATACTACGTATCATATTTATTTTTATTAAAATCAGGAATAACTGCTAAGCCGGGTCTTCCTTTAACTTCCTCTCCAAAATTTCTCAACATAAGGTCGACTCAAAACAGGTGAACAGTAACTTCACGCAGCATCTGATTGCTCTTTTCGTTTAGTTTTTTCAGAGGAAGCTCTCGCTGTTTCCCAGATGCCTCGTGCTTCGTCCAAGAAAGGCTCCTCCAGCTCCACCACTTCGGCATCAACCATGGATCTCTTTCGCTCTGGTCTCCTATTCTTCCCCTTCCTTTCACTGATTTCATGTTCATCTTTTACAGAATTTTTTTTCTTTTTAAAAATTAAATAAAATTCGAAAGACCCAGTAATTGTTTTGGCGATCCGTATCGGCTTGAAATTATGAAAACTTAAAGTTGGCTTATTTGCACTTGAATTTGGTGAGTTGAGCAGAAAGTTTCTACCTTTGATTATTAGTAATTGGAATTGTTCGTTTCATCATCACTGCATATCTTCTTGTATTCCAGCGACTAATGGTGTGTCTATTTGTTTTGGGTATTTTTCTGATGAAAAGCTTTGGATGTGATGAAAATTAGCTTCTTTTATTAAAATTGGACTCTTTGTTTGGGAAACCGTGAGTTCAGAAACATGATTAGGAGTATATTGCTAGCTATCATTTAAGTATGGAACCATATTAACATCTGAACGCATTCTGTTTGATGCCACATGCTCAAAGATTTATTGTAGATGGTGTTGAATTCGTTTCTCTTTTTCTTTTAATTAATTTATAAATATGATGAAGATGTATTGTTCTTACCTGACATGATTTGCATCTCTTTAGCTTCAGGTAAAGCAGCGAGTAAAGAGTTGGATCGAATCGATCAATTGTTTTATACATATGCTAATAATTTGTCTGGTTTAATTGAGTAAGTATTCCAATGTCTACTTTTTGTCATGTACTTCTAACTGGACAAGCACTTTAATTATGTATCTTAGTTCAAAACAACGTTAAGGGCAATTCTTCTCTCTAAGTTATGGAGGATGGAGTACAAATGTTAGTTCGAATTTCAAATAAAAAAACTGTTTCTTATTGATGTTGTAAAAACAAACAAAGCAAAGATGAATGTTTGATGGTAATAATTATCTCTGTACAGCCCCGAAGGAGTTGAGGCTCTATGTTCGGACTTGGAAGTGAAACACACCGATATTCGCATATTAATGCTGGCTTGGTATCTTTCGATCGACCAATTTTTCTTTATTCAGCCTACACATGTTCTTAGTTTAATACTAATACTAGCCTTGTGTCGTAGGAAAATGCAATCAGAGAAACAAGGATACTTTACTCTGGTTAGCAGGAAACCTCTATTTCTATACTCTTTAATCGTGTGTTCATATCATTATTCCTTGTTTCCTAACCTGTTTCTGTCCAGAAGTACGGCTGATGCTGATACTATCTCAACCATGACACTCATTTTTATTATCAAAGTTAGTACCACTGCTGTTTGTTCTTGCATTAGGATGAGTGGAGAAAAGCGCTAAAATCATTAAGAGCCGACACATTGCAAAAATTGAAGAAAGCTCTTCCGGAACTAGAGAAGGAAGTAATAAGTTGCATTTATTTTTTTTAAACTTATATTCGAGACTAAATGGGGGTCTTAAATCTTTCATCCTGATTTTGTATTTCCATTTATCACTTTTCAAGGTTCGAAGACCACCAAACTTCGTGGATTTCTATGCTTATGCATTTCGGTATTGCTTAACAGGTACTCCCTTCGTCCCCAAATAAACTTCTCCTTTCGTTTTTTCTTTGTCCCCAAATAAACTTCTCTTTTCTCTTAAAAAAACCACCTTTACCCCTTACTTTTTCATACCCTACCTATCACATCATACCTTTTTACTAACAATCTAAATATCACATCTTACTTTTACACATCACATCAAGGGTATTTTTGGAAAGTCAACACAAAAATATCTCTCCCTTAAATTCTCAAAAAGTCAAAAAGGGAAGTTTATTTAGGGACAGTGGGAGTATGTTATTACTCACTTTTGTTGACCACCTTGTCTTTGATACTCCGTCTAGACCAATTTGTAGGTACAATTTTCTTTTTAAAGGGATATTATGAAAAAAATTTACATGTCATCAATTTTCCAATTTTACCTGCCAAAATTATGCTTTTATTGTACATATGCTTTGTACAAATCATAAAAGGTTTATAAAAGAGAAATTTGGGTAAGGAGGGAAGTGATGTTTAAAGAACGAATGTGGACATAAATGATGGAGGAACTAAATAGGAAGGAAAGATATATATAGGTTTATCTTGCTTTTCACACGTTCTCAATTCATTGTGTTTTGCCCATAATCTTATGTGGTAAACGTGGGCACTCACATTGACAAATTGGTGTATTCCTAGAGGAGAAACAGAAGAGTATAGATATCGAAAGCATATGCGTACTGCTGGATCTTGTGTTAGGCTCTCAATTTCGGCTCCAAGTTGATGAATTCATCCAGTATTTAAAAGTAAGCCATTCTCCCTTTTGGAAGGGGTTTCATATTTCCTGTCCTATGCAGTGGTCATTGTATTTAATCATTTCTCCTTCTACTTAGGGTTTATTTGGGAAGGGGGAAAACGACATCCGGAAGACAATAAACTCACCATGTTTTATGATGTAACGACATTTTTTTTCATTTTTCCTAACTTTCAACGAAAGAGTAGAAAATAAATTTGTTTTCTAGATGTCATTTTACATGAAATCATTTTCCATCATTCCAAATGGATAAAAACATGAAATGGTGATATTTGAGGTTGATTAAGTATAATCCCTCAGTCCGTAAATATATATCAGTCACTATTCAATCGATATTCACAAGATCAAATCATGTAATCGTTCTGCACTTACTTACATCGATAATTTGTTACAATAGAATACTCTTGTCATCACTTTTTTTTATTGAAAAATCTTTGATGCAATTTTTAAATGTGTAAACTTTATTTTAAAATTTTACACCAATATTTAAATGAATTTAAATGGAGAGAATTTCACACAAACATCTTAAACCAATATGTGATGTTTATCAAGGGACCGAGGGAGTAATACTTAGCAAGAACTTTAAGTTAATTACCAAATGTGTAATGGGTGTACGGTGGTTGGTGTCAGATCCAAAGCGATTACAAGGTCATCAATATGGATCAATGGATGGGATTTTACAGATTTTGCTGCGAGGTAAAACCGAGTTGTTTTCTCCATCCATAATAACCTTTGCATTGTCCAACAATCTATGAATGGTTAGCTCTCTTATAATAATAATAATTATTATTATTATTGTTGAGATTACAATAATTCCGGAGCACTTTGATTTGAACAGATAAGCTTTCCGGACATGAGGAATTATGATCCAGAGCTCGCTTGGCCTTTGGTTCTTGACAATTTCGTCGACTGGATGACAGAAAAGCACAGCTAGATCATAGTACCCTGGTACTGCTAACTTTCCTTTGCCTTATTCTAAACGGTTGTGCTTGGTATACAGCTACACCAACCCCATTTTTTGCTCTTCACAAACAAACACAGACAAATCAAATCGCGTTTGTGCAACACAAACAAATCTCATGCTCTGAAACTTTCTTCCAGCAGGATCTATTATGTTACAACGTGTTTGCTTTTGGCGTCTTTTTCGTCCCCAGATATGTTGGGAATGATGTTTCATCTCAAAATAATGGAAGAATGGACACCAAAAGCCCGGGCATTGTACACAACCAAGTTATGATTCTGATTGCCAACTTTATTATTAAAAAAAAGATTGTATGTGAACTATAAGCTCTTGTTTACAAACTTCTCCTGTATTATTCACACCATTATTTTCAGTGAATATCCATAAGTATTACTCCCTCTGTCCCTCTTCACATTTCGGTTTACGCTATTTGAGTGAATTTAAATTTAAATTTATTTAAATATTAAAGTACCCTGACATGGATTCTCAAAATTATATTCCCGTGAAGTTATTTTCAAATGAACTTATTTTCAATTTAAATTTATTTAAATATTAAAGTACCCTGACATGGACCATTTTAATAATTTACTCAAAATATTTTGTCATATTTGGTGAAAAAGACTATTGATGGAATACTTTTCAAAAATTGAGGACCGTTTATGGAATATCTTATAATTGGAAACTAAATATGGAAAACTACATATAATTGGGGACTATTTATGAAATTTACTCATTTAATTAGATATTGATAAATTGTACGTAGTATTTCTCTACTTGACATCTCTTGAATTCGATGTGATTTTTTACCCTTATATTTTTTATATGTAATCTTCGGGAACTTTCTTAAACAAAAATATGGGCGTTTAAAACATTTTCGTTGAACAAGGGTGTGGGGAAGTGTCCAACCATAAGGCTTTGTTTGGATTTGGAAGGAAAAAGAGAGAAAAGAAAATGAAAGAAAATGAGAGGAAAAAAATTGGAGAGAAAATGAAAAGAAAATCATTATTGTTTGGATAGGTAAAAAAGAAGAGAAAATGAGACGAGGAAAGAAAAAATGATTAAGCCAAAAGATATTTATGCCCCTGTCATAAAGCAACAAACAAGTTAAACAAAAAAAAGGTGTGCTTCGTAAATTAGAAAAGAGGCAAAGGACAAACATGTCATTTCATGTATTTTCTCTCCATGCGTACAACTTTCTCTTCAAAAGTGCAGAGAAAATTTTTTAGGACTTTTTTCACTCTTTTTCTTTCCTCTCCCCATTTTCTATTACAAACAAACAAGAGAAAAGATCTAGAAACTTGTGTTTTCCTCCCTCCACTTTTCTTTGCTTCCAAAATCCCCCCATCCAAACGGAGGGTAAAGGTGGGGTGCCCTTGTTCGTTTCGAAGTAATGTTTTGTTTTAATTTGAATCAATTTTTAATAAACAAAGCTGTTTTGTTGAAACCTTTTAATATACAAGGTAAAGGGAAAATATGAACATTGTTTTTTCTCGTCTATTTCTTTAGTAGCGAGTATGGGCCATTTAAATGGGCATTATAAGATCGAGTTTGAACAATTTAAACAGCCCACATTGTGGAATGTCGTGAGTGCATGATGACTTTTGCATGGGGGGCTTGTGTTGGGGGTTAGGTAAAATGCAAAGCTAAGCTTTGTGGAGTCCCTATGTTTTGTAAAAAAATAACTTTTCTTCGAAAGTTATCATTTAGCATGTTTATATGTTAATACAACTGGCCCAATCAATGAAGATGAAAATTGTGCCTTTTCAAACTCGGCACACTATCACATGCCACATTTTTGGGCATTGGATATGTATAGATCTCCAAATCTTTATTTGGAATCCTTTGCCAAAGATTTCATCCCCTCAACACATCTCTTTAAATACGGAGTAAATAAATTGAATGTGTGTCAAATACACATTACAAAATTTACATTATCGTTCACCAGTGTGTAACCAAAAACTTAATTTCAGCTTGGTATCAACACAAGACAATCAAAAAAATGTGAGCTACGGCGGAATTTCTCATCCGTGCGTTATTTATTATACTTCCTCTTTGAAAAAAAAACTTTTTTATGCCATTATGCTATATCATTTACAAGGGTTAAACTCTAAAGACTTGAGACATGTGTAGCAATTTTCACGAAGGTAAATTTATGCATTTGAGAGTACATCTTCGGTAACAAATCAAAACGAATATGATTTTAGAATGAATTACAAAGAGCATATATTGAGTACTTGATTAAATTCAATTTACTATGAGCATATTTTAATGATAAACGGTATATAGAATAAATCGTGAAGTCAATACAAAGTACGAATACAATGCATAGGGGCATACCCCTATAAAATCAAAGGCAAGTCATGGCAACAACAAAAGCAACCAAACAAAAAAGGAGAACAAGAAAACAAAAGATGTTCTCCTTGTCTTCCTTCCTCTTGTTGTTGCCCTGGACGCCATGTGCAAGACTAGCGTAATACTGGTTCGGGTGAGGCCCAACTCCAAGAACAAGGTACTGCCCGCCCACCCACCCTCGGAAGATGACACTGTCTTCTTTGGATTGGGCACTAGATCCGTCACAAGAGTTGCCATCAACCAGAAAGCCGTATCCCCAAAGCAAAGCCAGGGTCCCTCGTTGCGTCTTCAGAATCATTTACATAGAAAGGGCTACAAACTGAAGGCAATGGCAACCCTAGGGGATCAACGAGAACAGAGCCACGGATCCACACCTAATGAGAGAACACTCTGGCCATCACTCAAATCCTTACTCTTGTTAGCTCCTTTAGTGATTGCATCTTTCCTCAAACGAAGCAAACACGCAAAAACACCCCAGGGAATCGTGGACAAGGTGCCACGGAGTCAAACCCAGGGAAAACCAGCAAAATCAGCGGAGAGTATCCTGTTAGTCTCAAACCTCCATCACGCAAGTCAAAACAGCCCCAGCAAAGATCAGCATCACAGCCATCACTCAATAGTACCTCAAAAGGTCGGGCAACTTGGGTCAGCACGACACGAATGTCAAGGCTTCAGTGCTGCCCACGAGCCGAAGCAAACACACTGCCTTTCACCTGGACAAATCGAAGAATTGAAGACCAGCTGCATGCCCCCTTCTACAAACAATGGTTTTCAGTTCTGCCTCCTCCCTGTCCAAGCAATCAGCACCATGGTAGGACCCTTGGTTGCGTGTGCTTCAAGCCCAAAGCCAGGTATAAGTGGAAGCCAACGTTCCTTCAAGCTGCTGCCCTCCAGCCATCAGGAACAGTTTGGTTCCTCAAAGTCCAAGCACACCTTCTTCATAGGCCACATCAAAGGAGTGAAAAAGAATGCTTTAAAATGTCAAAAACCGAAGGGAGACAACATCCAAGAATTGTGCCCAACATCCTTGCAACAAAGCAATGGTAAGGAAGCCCTCCACACCACTTTGGAATACGTAATCTCCCCCAAGCACACAAATCCACAAGAACCAAGTCACTGAAGGACATCAAAAATGCCAAAACGTCAACTGTCCTATAGCATCTTGCCATAACAAAACGCCTCTAGATAAATAAGGCTCTTACCCGGGTGTCGGGAACCTAATTTCAACCTTCATAACTAGGAGACTAGAATCACCCAATCTCTAGGTGTGGCAGCGAAATGCATTGACAATACCACGAAGACAAGGTCCTCCATGGTTTTGACGCCAGGACCTGTTGAGTGTTACTTCAAAGTCCCACATCGGTGGGATAGGAAAATTGAGAAGGGATTGGAGCCCATAAATAGAGAGGGTATATAGGCTTCCAACACACAACACAATCCTTCAATCTATATAATTGTATTAGATTTTAGGTTGTGAGTGTCAAATATTGGAGAGGGTTTGTAATTTATCCGTGCAAAAATTACTAGTGAGATTTTATCCCAGAGGGGGTCGTGGAGTAGGTCTTGAGGTGCCGAACCATGTTAAATATTTTGTGTGCTCTTTTTCTTTCCTTTCCATTTGTTTGCAGTAAGGGGGCCTAACAAGTGGTATCGGAGTCAAGGTGATCTGGTAATTATAATTCTTAGTATGCTCTGTGGTTGCAGCTTTGACTGATCTTCTACATCAGAAAAGAATTATTAATTGCAGAGTTTTAGTCTAGGGACAAAGGAGATAGAGAAAGGAGCAAGAGGAGGGAGTGCCACTTCAGGGGAGGAGGAGGTGGTCCAGTAAGCAGAGGTGGGTCCGTGAGTGCCACGTCAGCAGTTTGTGGGTCCGAGTGCCACGTCATCATCCAGTCAGCACCATGTCAGCGAGTCCAGTCATCAGTGGGTCCCATCGCCACGTCAGCAGGTCTAGTCATTGTGTGGGTCCCGTTGGTGATTTTGGAGAGAAGTTGGTTCTGACTAATTTTGACGTCCTGATTCCATTTTTTAGGCTAGTTTCCTCAAATGTAGATTGTTTGGTATTGGTTGATTGCTGCTTGAGTGGAACTATGACTACCTTGAAGTTTGAAGTTCCGTTATTTGATGGAACAGCGGACTTCATGTTGTGGCAATGCACGATTCAAGACTATTTGGTCCAGCAAGGTCTTGATTTAGCATTGCAAGATGAGAAGCCAAGTGATATGAAAGAATCAGAGTAGAGTACAATCCAGAAGAAGGCTGTCAGCACAATTCGGTTGGCACTGTCCCCACAAATTAAAGTGACAGTGCTGAAAGAGACATCACCAAAGAAGCTGTGGGAAACGTTGGAGAGCAAATTTGCGTCGAAGACACTTACTAACCGGTTGATGATGAGGATGGACTTGTACTCACTGAAGATGGAAGAGGGAGGTAGCGTAATTGATCACATCAACAAGTTTAATGAGCAAGTATCAAAGCTGTTAAATGCAGGGGAGACTATCAAGGATGAAGAGCAAGGGCTGCTTCTACTGGCTTCACTACCAAAATCCTTTAAGCCGTTTGTGCAGTCAATGATAGCAGGAAGGACTACACTGCGACTAGATGAGGTGACGACTGCCTTGAAGGAGAGTCAAATGATGATGGGAGGTGAAGAGTCTTCCGGGGACAGTCATTTACTAGCTGCTGTGAGTGTTGAGAAAGGGAGGAAGAAGAAGAGTGACCAACTTTGGAGAAGATCTCAGCTGAGAGACATGAGCACTGTTAGGTGCTATTACTGTGAAAAGTTGGGTCACAGAAGAACGGTTGTCCAGAACTCAAGGAGGACTTGCAGATCCTAAAGGAGAAGAAGGGCAAATCGAAGGAAGCTTCTTCCGCAAATGTGATCACTTATGAAGATGATCTCTTCTGAAGATAAGAGTACTGCTAGACAGAAGATTCTGCAGGATGAGAGTATCGCTGCAAAAATTGCAAATGATGTAGGACTTTGAATTAAGGGGAGATTTGTAGAGTGTTACTTCAAAGTCCCACATCGGTGGGATAGGAAAATTGAGAAGGGATTGGAGCCTATAAATAGAGAGGGTATATATGCTTCCAACACACAACACAATCCTTCAATCTATATAATTGTATTAGATTTTAGGTTGTGAGTGTCAAATATTGGAGAGGGTTTGTAATTTTTCCGTGCAAAAATTACTAGTGAGATTTTATCCGAGAGGGGGTCGTGGAGTAGGTCTTGAGGTGCCGAACCACGTTAAATATTTTGTGTGCTCTTTTTCTTTCCTTTCCATTTGTTTGCAGTAGGGGGCCTAACAGGACCAGCTGGAATGGCAAAGGCTTCGAACCCTCTGCTGGATTTTCAACATCCCCAACCTCCACCTTGCTTGAGGGAAACAGTTTAGAAGCACCCCAAGTCCTCCCATTGAACTTGGCGAAGGATGGCATCTAAACAGAATATTGGTTTGGCTCAGGGAAAATAGCAAACACCTGGGGGTGCCAAACGTACCCTTCTGTAGAAATTAATAAGAGGAAAAATATTCAGTATATTGAATTGTTCTACTAATTACAAGGGGTTTCTCCTTTATTTATAGAAGAGGAAAAAGACCAAAACACAAAAGGAATTCTACTCCTACATGGAAACAAATCACTAAATATGAACTAGGAAACAAATCAAGAGCAATCCCACTTAGAATAGGATTTGCTTTCCTTCTTGCCGTGTGGTCCAAGGAACATGGCCCAACACCCCCCCTCAAGCTGGAGCATGCGGATTCTGGACGCCCAGCTTGGACAGCAAATGAGAAAACGGAGCGGAAGCCAAAGCCTTTGTGAAGAGATCTGCCGGTTGTTCATTGGTGGAGATGTGGCGAGTACACAAAACACCTCGTTGGATTTCGTCACGCACAAAGTGGCAATCAATTTCAATGTGTTTCGTACGCTCATGGAAGACATGATTAGCTGCAATATGGAGGGCTGCCTGATTATGGGGCCCCTACACCCCTTGTTTAGCTACTGGTGCACATTATTTTCTCACTATTGTGGATGACCACTCTCGTGCAGTTTGGGCCTATTTGATCATTGATAAATCTGAAGTACCTAGTTGTCTATTGAATTCTAGGGGGAATGTGTTCGTACTGCTGTTTATTTAATTAACCGTACTCCCAACAAACTGCTTGGTGGTAAGTCTCCGTTTGAAGTTCTAAATCACAAAGCACCCGATCTTAATCATCTTCGAATTTTTGGATGTCTATGCTTTGTACGACTGAGGACTTCCAATACATTTTCTCCTCGAAGCACCAAGTGCATGTTTGTTGGGTACCCCTCCGGCACAAAAGGTTGGCGTGTGTATGAACTTGATACTCATCGTTTCTTTCACACTCGGGATAATGCTTTTGACGAGAGCACGTTCCAGTTTGTCACACATCATACGCCGGCCGAACCCTCTACCTCCACCCCACATGCCGACTTTCCCGAATCACCCCTGCCCGACCCCCTTCCGGCTGCCGTACCTGACGGCTAGCCTGCCCAGCCGGCAACTGCCACCGAGCAGCCCACCGACGCCCAGCCTCACCCCCATACAGCTGCCGCTCCTCCGCTTCGTCCTCAACGGCAGCGTCGTCATCCATCACATCTTAGTGATTACATCGTCAATTCTGTTCAAACTCCCGCTCCATTGTGCTCATTGCCTTCCCCGTCACCGTCTTCAGGTACACGTTATCCTATTGCCAACTTTGTTTGTTATCATAAATTACATGACATGTATCGAGGATTTCTTGGCGCCATCAGTCCTCATTTTGTCCCTAAAAATTACTCAGAGGCAGTCCCACACGCCAATTGGCGTGCGGCAATAAACACGGAGCTCCGAGCTTTGGTCAATAATAACACTTGGGAAATCTCAGACCTGCCTCCGGATCGGACAGCTTTGGGCTGTCAATGGGTCTTCAAGACCAAGTTTAATTCAGATGGCACTAAAGAACGGGACAAGGCCCGTTTGGTTGTTCTTGGAAATCATCAGACTTTGGGGGTGGATTACACTGACACTTTTGCCCCGGTAGCAGAAATGGGGTCTGTTCGTGTTTTGCTCTCTATGGCCGCGGCAAAGGGATGGCAGGTGCACCAACTCGATGTTAATAATTCTTTCCTTCATGGTGATCTGATTGAGGAAGTCTACATGCGGATGCCACTTGGACTTTCCCAGATATATCCAGGCAAAGTTTGTCGGCTACGCAAATCTCTTTATGGTTTGCGTCAATCTCCCCGAAACTGGTTCGGGAAGCTCACTTGTGCCCTTTGGCGATACGGGTTTCGTCAGGCACATGCAGGTCACACCCTATTTATTTATCATCGAGGATCTGACGTTTTGGTTGTCTTGGTTTATGTTGACGACATCTTGGTTGCAGGTAACAACCCCACCTTATGTGCTTCTTTCAAAGTTTATCTTGATCGACGTTTTCACCTGAAGGACTTGGGACCCCTATCTTATTTTTTGGGCATTGAGTGTGCTCAATCTGCGAAGGGTATTGTTCTCTGTCAGCGGAAATATGCACTCGACATCCTTCATGAAGCTGGTCTCTTAGGCTGCAAACCAGTCGACACACCCATTACGCCGAACCACGGGCTAGGAAGGTCGACTAGCGCCGAGCTTCATGACCCGACACAGTATCGGCGACTTGTGGGGCGCTTAAATTATTTCACAATCACTCGTCCGAATCTCACTTATTCGGTTCATGTTCTGTCTCAATTTATGCATGCGCCTCGCCTTGATCATATGGAAGCTGCCAAACGGGTCCTTCGCTACTTGAAGGGTCATCCAGGTCAGGGTATTCTCTTACGTAGTGACAGTTCACTACAGCTATCTGCTTATAGTGACTCCGACTGGGCATCTTGTCCTCTTACTCGTCGCTCTGTTAGCGGCTACTTCATTCTTCTGGGTGGCTCTCCAGTTTCTTGGAAAACCAAGAAACAAACCACCGTGTCCCGTTCATCAGCAGAAGCTGAATATCGTGCTATGGCTAACGCATGTGCAGAAGTACGATGGATTCGCGGTCTTCTTGGGGCGCTCGGCATTGCTCCACCGACGACGCCACGTTTGTTTTGTGATAATAAGTCCGCTTTATTTATTGCTGCTAATCCTATTTTTCATGAGCGTATGAAACATATTGATATTGATTGCCACATTGTCCGTGAATGTGTTCAGCGCGGTGAGATCGCTACCGCATATGTTCCTACTCGTCTACAAATTGCTGATTTGTTTACTAAGGCTTTGAACATGCCTCTCTTCGCATTCTTATTATCCAAGTTGGGCATTTGTGATCTCCATGCTCCAACTTGAGGGGGAGTGTTAGCATATATATTTATTTCCTTCCATATATGTAATTATTTACTTTGTAATTTATTTCCTTGTAAGTAGTCCTTTCCATACTTGTAGTAGGACTTGGCACATGTATATATACGTTGTGAATATTGAATGAAAGGCAGTTCAGTTTTTCCAAAATTATACACTAATTGTCTGTGGATGCATGGTACCTGTTATTGCATGGAATGAAACTTCATGCACGTTATTTTGGGGTTACGATTTCAGCAACCTGATCTGCGGGTTCTATTGATTCTTCAACTGCGGCCTCACAAATCATAAACAATTGAGGTTTGGAGCATCGATGACCTGGGAAGAACTTCTCGTCACAATAGTAACAAAGACCCTTGTCTCGTCGCTCCTTGGCTTGTGTACTAATGATGCGTTTGACTGGATTTTGAGAGGGGGCAGCCTGGCTGCTGATGGTGCATTCGGATGAGGGCCCAAGAGTCCAGGGTTGGACGAGGTTGAACGTGCGGAGGAGCCGGTCGGGCCGAAGCGCTGCAAAACCGCTTGGGTGAGTTCTCTCCAGGTGAGTGGTCCTTTGAACTTTGTATACCACCTGTACCACTGTAGGGCGATGCCCTCCATGTGAAATGAGGCTAAGGAGACTTGTTGGTCAGTAGGAATTTTGGCGAACTCGAAGTATTTTTCGGATAAGTAAAGCCATCCAATCGGATCATCTCTGGTAAACTTGGGAAAAAACAGTTTGGTTTGAGGTTTACTATTGCCGTCATGAGTGAACGGCGATGTGCGGTGATGAGTGGATGACCCGGTCGAGTCGTTGGAACGGGTCGTGTTAATGGAGGTTTCAAGGGACTGCATTTTCTCGAGAAGTGTTTGGACGGCAGCAGTTAATTGTTGGTTACTTCTAGTGAGGTGGTTTAATTGGATTCCATGTGGGACGAGGGTGTCACTAACCTCTTGAGTCTTATCATGTTGAGCCTTGTTGCGGGTTTCCATTAGATCGGGCTCTGATACCAAATGATACAGCACAAGGGAGAGCCACACCCTAAAAGCTATCTGTTCAGGTAGGAGAATCTTTGGCCATATAAAGCCATCACCAAGTCCCCCATTTAACCGGTGTGGGACAATGAAATCAGTCTATATCACATTCTTCCACCAAACTAATTTTATGAAACTTAGCATATACTCTTTGTTGATCAATTCTTAAACATAAAATATAAATCAGGAAATAAATCATGTGTACCTGATAATCCTGTAAACGTAGTTAGGGATGAGGCCATGATGCTGATGCTGATGCTGATTGAGTTCCCGTTTAGAGTGTATCGTTATGATGGCTAAGGTGAGGATGAGACTCACGAGAATAGAGAGGCAGAGAGAAGGCGTAAGATTGGTGTGTTCTAATCTATGCCTAATGACCTCTATATATATACACCCAAGGGGAAACTCTAATCTCTGACTTGAAATAAAATTTTTTTATCACATATTTTTTTTCTTCGATCAAAATTGAAACAGTTTTTTTTTGTGTGATTTCCATTGAAAACAAATCAATGTTATTTTTCTCCCTCTTTTCAATTAAAAAAACAGCTCAAAAGAAACTGTTTTAATCTCACCAAAAAAAACAGATTTGGTTTCCAAATCGCAAATGTTATTGTTTTATGTTTTGATTCCCGTTGATGAATTATTCCTTATTTTGATGAAGTCATCTTATTTTGGTATTTGTTTTGGAATGTAATTGTGTTTCCTTAAATTGTATGACATATCTCACTTTTGCATAATATATTTTGCTTCCTTGATTATTAATTTACTTTACCAAGAATAGCAAAACTAAGGGATATGCTAAAATACCATATAAAAAAAATTAATTTTTTTACTTGTTTGAAAATCTCTTGCCTTATATGCCTTTTGATTTTCTAATTAAATTAATCTTAATGGGTCCCCAATTTTTCGTAGCCCCGCCTCGAATCGCTTTAACTTTTGCGATTTATTAATTATTTACATTAAATTAATAAATCATTTGACTAATTTAAATAAAACTTGTTTTATGTTAGTTAAATTAATTTATTTTGCTTGACTTGAATAATACCTTAGAATACACTTCTGCCCAAAGGTGATGTGTAACATTTGTAAAATTTATTTCAAGTCTTATTAAGCATTGTCATTTAGTGCATATCCTTAAATAGATATTTGCATGACACTCGCCTTAAATACGTAATATTTCACTTCTGTCCAAAGATGATGTGTTATAATTGTGTGCTGCGAACTAAATATATATGTGCATTAAAATTTAAATGTTTCACTTCTGCCCAAAGGTGATGTGTTACATTCAAATTGCACACCATTATTTTATTATTCATAATACTTAAATAAGTGGTCATAACCAAAGTGAAAGTCATTTGTTTAAGTAGAATTAAACTTAGTCTATTATTTTGGTGTTATAATAGACTTTTATCACAGCTTCATTACAATATAATGGTCCTTATCTTCGCCAGCCTTAGTTCATTACCCCTTAAGTTCTTCTTTAATTATGTGTCTTATTTCTCTCATCTGAATCCACTATCAGCCCCGAATATGGGAATTGAAACTTTGAACGGTGCAGATTTTTCTTCATGGAAAGATTCACTAATGCTAACTCTTGGCATGTTGGATTTTGATTATGCACTGAGAGAGCCTGCCCCTCCTGCCCTCACTGGTAAAAGTACAGCTAAAGATAAAATAGTACATGAGAGATGGGAGAGGTGCAACAGAATGACTCTTATGCTCATTAAAAATTCCATCAGCATAATCATCAGGGGAGCTATTCCAGATTCATCTAATGCTAAAACATATCTGGCTTCCGTGGAGGAACAATTCAAAGCAACTTCTAAGGCACATGCTAGTACTCTTATTTTGAAGATGGTGACTACGAAATACGACGGGAATAGCAGCATTCGTGAGCACATCATGATGATGAACGACATGGCCCGTAAGCTTAAGGGATTAGACATGGAGATCAGTGAAGGTTTTCTGGTGCACTTCATAATGACTTCTCTTCCTGCATCTTTTGAAGCTTTCAAGGTCAACTACAACACCCAAAAGGTCAAGTAGTCAATGAATGAGTTGATTGCTATGTGTGTACAAGAACAAGAGCGTCTGAAGCTGGACAAACCGAATGTGGCTTACCTCATGATTGCTAATCTAAAGAAGAGGAAGGGAAATGTCGATAAGAAGGAAGTTTCTAAAGTCTAGAAACATGATGCAAGTGCTGCTTCCAGCTCTAAGAACTCCAAAGGGAAGCCTTACTGCAAGTTCTGCCACAAGGAAGGACATAGACAAAAAGACTGCCAAGACTTTAAGGAGTGACTGATGAAGAAAGGTAATCATCTTTACATGATACTTGAGTCCTTTAATTTAAATGTTCCAACTAATACATGGTGGTTTGACTCTGGTTCTATGGTTCATGTGACCAACTTACTTCAGGGATTCCTTACAATCCAGAAGCTGGAAAGAAATGGAAGAACACTTAAACTGGGAAATGGAATAGAACTAGCTGTCGAAGCCGTGGGAACCTTAGAATTAATAATGAAAACTGGTTTATGTATTAAACTTTATGATACCTTATATATTCCCGAGATTACTCAGATATTAGTATCAGGACCAAAGTTAGACATAGCGGGTTTTGATGTTTCTCATGGTCGTGGCAGACTTACTATTAGTTTCAATTCTTAAGTGTTTGGTCATGGTTTCCTATATGGTGGTCTCTATAAATTAGAACTAGATGATGATTTTTCCAAATCTTTGTTTTCATATAATATCAATCAGACATTAACAAAGAGAAAACGAAAACGAGACTTAGAAACTTCATCCATGTTGTGGCATCAACGCTTAGGCCACATTTCACGAGAACATTTGTCTAGACTCGTGAAGGATGAAGTGTTACCATCTCTCGATTTCAATGATTTTGGAACATGTCTCAAATGCCTTAAAGGTAAAATGACATCAGTGAATAAGAAAGGTGCCACTAGGAGTTCTAATTTATTAGAGCTCATTCACACTGACATTAGTGGTCCTTACTCTATCACTGGCATAACTGGACATAACTCATTTATCACTTATATTGATGATTATTCTCGTTATATGTACTCGTATCTTATTAAGGAAAAATCTGAATCACTTACAACTTTTAAAGATTATAAAACTGAAGTTGAAAAACAACTTGATCGTCAAATAAAAGTTGTAAGATCAAATAGAGGAGGTGAATATTATGGTAGACATACTGGTGTAGGTCAAGCTCCTGGTCCATTTTATGAGTTTTCTAAGGGCCAGGGGATCGTGAGCCAATATACTATGCCTGGTACTCCTCAGCAGAATGGTGTTGCTGAGAGAATAAATAGGACCCTAATGGGCATGGTACGCAGTATGTTAGCCAACTCAGGTTTACCTCTATTTCTTTGGATCGAGGCCTTAAAAGTAGCCGTTCATATACTCAATAGGGTTCCTTCTAAAGTTGTCCCTAAAACTCCTTATGAACTCTGGACAGGTAGGAAACCGAGTCTAAGATATATGAAAGTCTGGGGTTGTCTCGCCGAAGCTAAACTTTATAATCCCTTTTTAAAGAAACTCGACATGAAAACTGTAACTTGCTACTTCATTGGTTATCCTTCTCACTCAAAGGGTTACAGATTTTATTGTCCTTCCCATGTCACTCGCATTGTAGAAACCAAATATGCTCATTTCCTTGAAGATTTTAAGGTAAGTGGGAGCAGTGAAAACCCTTATGATGAATTGCTAGAAGTACAAGACGCGGGGGGGGGNCAATCCGCAGGACACTGCAACACCTCCTACTCCAAATGTACCTGGAAATAAAGACACCTCAAATGATCACCATCAAGACAATGCCGCCAATGCTCAATCTGAAAATTTGCTCAGGAGGTCTAAAAGGCCTACTAACTTTGATGATTATGTTACCTACCTGACTGAAGAAGAAATGGATGCTGGAAAGTTTACTGATCCTACCTCTTATAATGAAGCCATTAACAATGACCAGTCTTCTGAATGGAATAAAGCCATGATTGAAGAGCTTGACTCCATGAAGAAAAATGATGTTTTGGATTTGGTTGGATTACCCAACGGTGTAAAACCCGTAGGATGTAAATGGGTCTTTAAAACAAAACTGGACCCGAATAGAAACATTGAACGCTACAAAGCAAGATTGGTTGCAAAGGGCTACACTCAGAAAGATTGAATTGACTATCAAGAGACCTTTTCTCCTGTCTCTCGAAAGGATTCTTTAAGGATCGTTATGGCCCTTGTAGCTCACTTTGATTTAGAGCTACATCAGATGGATGTCAAAACCGCTTTCCTTAATGGCGATTTGGATGAAGAAGTGTTCATGAAACAACCCGAAGGATTCAAATCTGAAGGTCAAGAACATATAGTCTATAAGCTAAAGAAATCCATATATGGGTTGAAGCAGGCATCACGTCAATGGTACCTAAAGTTGCATTAAGTCTTGAAGTTAGAAGGTTTCATAAAGAATCAAGTGGATCAATGCACCTACCTTAAGATGAGTGGGAGAAACTTTACTATACTTTTCCTTTACGTAGATGACATTCTATTGGCAAGTAATAGTTTAGACATGTTTCATGAGTCCAAGCGCTTACTCTCGCGTAATTTGGACATGAAAGATCTCGGAGAGGCTTCTTATGTTATTGGCATCGAAATACACCAAGATAGAGCCAATGGTATTTTGGGATTATCTCAAAAGGCTTACATTGAGCGTGTGCTTACACGTTATAACATGCCACATTGCTCTCCTTCTATGGCTCTAGTAGTTAAGGGAGATGTTTTCGGTTTATTTCAATGTCCGAAAACGGAGGTTGAAAAAGAACAGATGAGAATGATACCTTATGCGTCAGTAGTAGGAAGCCTTATGTATGCACAAGTCTGTACTCATCCAGATATCGCTTACATTGCTGGAATGTTAGGTTGTTATCAGACCAATCCTGGCCTTGATCACTAGAAAGCAGCTAATAAAGTTCTTCGATATCTACAAGGGACGAAAGACTATAAACTGACTTACAGAAGGAGTGATAATTTAGAAGTGGTTGGTTATTCTGATTCTCATTTTGCTAAGTGCAAAGATGACAAGAAATCCACTTCAGGGTATATCTTTATGTTAGCTGGCGGACCTATCTTGTGGAAGAGTCATAAGCAAGAGTTGACTGCAACTTCTACAATGATGGCAGAATACATTGCGGTGTACAAC